AATTCGAATAGACGTCATGGGAGTACTGGGGAATTGTCACATACATACATCATCATCATCATCATCATCATCATCATCATTTTTCTACTGTTCAAAAGGATTATATGCTCAGTTTCTGAGTCTCCTTCACAGCTCTAGTGTAGGCATGAAGTATTTATAGGTCTGCTACAGGAAATAGGAACTGCTTTAAGGAGACAACAGCAGAAGCTTTTGGATACATGAGAGTTTTGTCAGCTAAGGGAGGTACCCAGGTCAGCCAGAAATCTTTTATTACTGTATCAGCTATAAAGCAAGATTTGACTAAAATTAAAAAGGCACAGAAGAGAACAGTTTCTGCACACATTTCTTTATGGCTTCCCTCTTTCTTGATCAATTGGGTGCTCTAATGGGGCACTATGGTTCATTCCACTGGTATCAAAGACTAATTTAAGTTCTTGTTAAAAAAAAGTCTTTCATTTTATTTCCAAATTAATCTGCATATCTAATTATCAAACTTATAAATTTGTTTTTATGGTGTAGTGGTTAGAACTGCAGACTCTGGAGCCAGTTTCCTTTCTTTTCTTTTCTTTTTTTATTCTTATTTATTATACTTTAAGTTCTGGGGTACATGTGCAGATTGTGCAGGTTTGTTACATAGCTATACACATGCCATGGTGGTGGTTTGCTGCATCCATTGTCCCGTCATCTACATTACGTATTTCTCCTAATGCTATCCCTCCCCATGCCCCCCACCACTGCAATTCCTCCCCAACCCCCCACCCCCAAGGCCCCAGTATGTGATATTCCCCTCCCTGTGTCTGTGTGTTCTCATTGTTCCATACCAATTTATGAGCGAGAAAATGCAGTGTTTGATTTTCTGTTCTTGTGTCAGTTTGTTGAGAATGACGCTTTCCAGTTTCATCCATGTCCCTGCAGGGAACATGAACTCATCCTTTTTGATGGTTGCATAGTATTCCATGGTGTATATGTGCCATATTTTCTTTATCCAGTCTATAATTGATGGGCATTCGGGTTGGTCCCAAGCCCTTGCTATTGTGAACAGTGATATAATAAACATATGTGAGCATATGTCTTTATAATAGAATGATTTATAATCCTTTGGGTATATACCCAGTAATGGGATTGCTGGGTCCAATGGTATTTCTATTTCTAGATCCTTGAGGAATTGCCACACTGTCTTCCACAATGGTTGATCTAATTTACATTCCCACCAACAGTGTAAAAGCGTTCCTATTTCTCTACATCCTCTCCAGTATCTGTTATCTCCTGATATTTTAAAGATCTCCATTCTAACTGGAGTGCAGTGATATCTCAATGTGGTTTTGATTTGCATTTCTCTAATGACCAGTGATGATGACCTTTTTTTCAGATGTTTGTTGGCTGCATAAATGTCTTCTTTGGAAAAGTGTCTGTTTATATCCTTTGCCCACTTTTTGTTGGGGTTGTTTTTTTCATGTAAATTTGTTTAAGTTCTTCGTGGATTCTGGATATTAGCCCTTTGTCAGATGGGTAGATTGCTAAAAATTTTCCCATTCTGTTGGTTGCCAGTTCACTCTATCGATAGTTTCTTTTGCTGTGCAGAAACTCTTAAGGTTAATTAGATCTCATTTTTCTATTTTGGCTTTTGCTGCCACTTGCTTTTGGTGTTTTATTCATGAAGTCCTTGCCCATGCCTATGTCCTAAATGGTATTGCCTAGGTTTTCTTCTAGAACTTTTATTGTGTTAAACATGTCTAGGCCTCATGTTTAAATCTTCTCCATCTAGAGTTAACTTTTGTATAAGGTGTAAGAAATGGATCCAGTTTCAGCTTTCTGCATATAGCTAGCCAGTTTTCCCATAATTATTTATTAAATAGGAAATCCTTTCCCTATTGTTTTTATCAGGTTTGTCAAAGATAAGATTGCTTTAGATGTGTGGCATTCTTTCTAAGGCCTCTGCTCTGTTCCATTGGTCGATATCTCTGTTTTGGTACCAGTACCATGCTGTTTTGATTATAGCGTTCTTGCTTGAGTTTGAACCTTCACTGCACCACTAACTGTGTGACCTCAGGCAAGCTACCAACACCTCTTGTGCTTTGCTTTCTTTATCTGTAAAATGGGGATATTTTTTACTACCTACAGAATGGTGACAATAAAATTACTTAGTACATGCAAGCGATTTGAACAGTGTCTGGAACATTTTAGATACCTTAGGATTGATAGTTACTATCTTTAATCCTATTTATTTTTAACAGGATTTCTTTTAGAGTTTAATTTTAAACACTAAAAAATAACATAAAACAAAATCGTTCTTAATTTTAACATGATAACTATTAGCATTATAATGATAATTATGACAACTAGTTTTAGTTTTACTATTATTTATAAAATTTTATTCAAAAATTTTGTAATTTAACATGCAATAAATACACAATATGGTTTACAGCTTTTCAAATATCCTAGTTGAAGTAAATGAACTCTAATTTATATTAGTTATAAATTAGTACATGGATATTGCATGTACATGATCAAAACATATCAAGATAAAGATTTATTTAGAGCTGACTTGTGCTATATAGCCATAACAGATAGTAGTATTAGCTACCTAAAGAACTTGCTTTTTTTTGTTTAGAAAATATCTGTGTATTATTTCTCTGCTAATCTAAATATGAAAGTTAGTTTGTTGTCCTAATTTCTAACCTACTCTTTTGCTGTTTATAATTATTAAATGAATTATCAACATTGTAAAATATCATATTTACTCCAAAATATAACTTGAAAATATATTTGATACTGAGTCAATTAAGTGCAAAATATTTTATAAGAGAATTATCACAATTCAGTGTGATTATTTGAATATCACTTACATTTTACTTCCTCGATGTGAATACTTCCATTTTCCTGGGAACTCTTTGCTAGGAACTAGACCTAATCTTTAGTGTTATTTGGCATCCCTGATTTATCTTTTACATTTAGTAATCACTTTTTGACCTCGGGTGAGTCAATAACCAAAGTATAAGAATTAGTTAATTTAAAATAAAGATAACAACATATAATTAATCACTATTGCTACCAAAACATAAACATTATAAATTCAAAATGTTAAATATTATAGGAGCCAGGTAAAACTTATTTGGTATGTGGTTCATGGAGTCATATCATTTGAGTGAACTACATAAATAAAGTAATAAATGATTTTGACTTAACTTTCACAAGAAGCCAATTGCTACTCAAAACTGTTATACCATTATAAATAATATTGTATTATAATTCATGTCATGTAATTTGTTTCTTAGCATTCTTTTAAAGAGATATTATAAAAGACACAGTCAATTTGATGTATAGTCATGATGGAAAATATGATCTTAAAGATTCTCCAGTAGGTATGGCTTCTTTTACTACTTGTAGTAAAATAAGTAAAAAGCACTTTTCCCCTTTCCCTTCTACAGTACAGAGAAAATTACTGTCAAGCCCATACACATATATATGTATATTTACATAAATACATGTGTGTGCCTCTGTATGCTGGGAAGGGAGTATCTATCTATCTAATCATTTATATCCAAATGATTCCTTTATGATATCTGTACTGTTCAAACTCTAGTCTGGGAAATCATCTCTTTTCTAGATTGATGCAATAGGCTTCCTGCTTCTATTCTTTCCTATTTTCCAGTTCATTTCGCAAACAGAGGACAGACATAGGTAAAGCATAAATTAGTTCCATCTCTGCTTAAAACTTTTTAGCAGCTTCCACTTTCCAGTGGCTTTAGCTAAGGAACGTGTTAGGTAACACTAGCTTCCCCCTTCTCCAATGGAGGGGATGGAGAAAGGAGATGTTGCCTTTCTCCATCCCCTCCACTGCCTATCATTTTATCTCTCCTTCCCAAGAACAGTAATTCCCAACTCTATTATCCTCATCCTCTCACTACATTCACATTATTGCTATCCCTAGATCCTTATACTTCTGCTCATTCTTCCTGGAATTCTTTCCTGAGAACTCTGGTTGACTCTTTTTGATAATTGACATCTCTATTCCAATATCACCTCCTTAAAGAAGACTGTCTTAAGCACTCTAAGTAAAATAGATCTCCCTTCTTCTAAGTCATTTTCTATTCCTTCACCTTGTTTAATGTTCTTCATAGCATTTACTGGGATTTGATATTATATTATTTACATATTCATGTCAACATTCTTGTCTTCTTTATTACTGTATCTTTAGTTCCTTCGGATGTGTCTGGCACATAGTTGGCATGCAATAAACAGTTGCTATAGAATGACTATTTTTCCATATTGTACTATTTTAAACTCTATGATTTCACAATTCCTACCCATGCTTCAATTAAAATAGCCTCAGTTGTCTTATGTGAAAGTTTTCTATTCCTAGAGCACACTAGGAAATAACAATTAAGGCATTTTTCATGATTTTTATTTTTTTCTTGCATTAAATCTTCTGACTCTTCTTTTTTCTTTTTGAGATGGAGTCTTGCTCTGTTGCCCAGGCTGGAGTGAAGTGGCAGAATCTTCACTCACTGCAGTCACCAGCTCCTGGATTAAAGCAATTCTTCTGTCTCAGCCTCTTGAGTAGTTGGGATTATGGGTGCCCACCACCACACCCAGCTAATTTTTGTATTTTTATTAGAGACAGGATTTCACCATGTTGACCAGGCTGGTCTCAAACTCCTGACCTCAGATTATCTACCCACCTTGGCCTCTGAAAGTGCTGGGATTACAGGGATGAGCCAACATGCCCCATCAATCTTCTGACTCTTTTTTTTTTTTGCCAATCAGTTTGAGCTTATGAGGTTGCTCAGGTTAGCCTTGAACTGATGACCTCACCTTCACAAGTGCCATGACCTCCGGCGGGAGCCACTTTGGACCCCAATCTTCTGACTCTTAATCTCAACTTTAAAATGCCTCTCTCATTAAGGGTAAAAGTCTAAAAAGGATATTAATTTTAAACCATCTTTCAGAGTTTACACAGGTGGTGACAGAAATATAATGTGCTTTTGTCTTTCTTTTAGATCTCCAACTAAAGACATGGACTCAGAAGAGAAGGGAATTGTGGTTTGGGTCTGCCAAGAAGAGAAGATTGTCTGTGGGCTGACTAAACGCACCACATCTGCTGATGTCATCCAGGCTTTGCTTGAGGAACACGAAGCTACTTTTGGAGAGAAACGATTTCTTCTGGGGAAGCCCAGTGATTACTGCATCATAGAGAAGTGGAGGGGCTCAGAACGGGTTCTTCCTCCACTAACTAGAATCCTGAAGCTTTGGAAAGCATGGGGAGAGGAGCAGTCCAATATGCAATTCGTTTTGGTTAAAGCAGATGCTTTTCTTCCAGTTCCTTTGTGGCGGACAGCTGAAGCCAAATTAGTTCAAAACACAGAAAAACTCTGGGAGCTCACCCCAGCAAACTACATGAAGACATTGCCACCAGATAAACAAAAAAGAATCGTCAGAAAAACTTTCCGGAAACTGGCTAAAATTAAGCATGACACAGTTTCTCATGATAGAGATAATATGGAGACATTAGTTCATCTGATCATCTCCCAGGACCATACTATTCATCAGCAAGTCAAGAGAATGAAAGAGCTGGATCTGGAAATTGAAAAGTGTGAAGCTAAGTTCCATCTTGATCGGGTAGAAAATGATGGAGAAAACTACGTTCAGGATGCATATTTAATGTCCGGTTTCAGTGAAACTGAGCAAAATACAGACTTGCAATATGAGGAAAACCAGACTCTGGGGGACCTAAATGAAAGTGATGGAATTGGACAGCTGGAAGAACAACTAAAATATTACCGAACACTCATTGATAAGCTCTCTGCTGAAATAGAAAAAGAGGTAAAAAGTGTTTGCATTGATATAAATGAAGATGCAGAAGGGGCAGCTGCAAGTGAACTGGAAAGCTCTAATTTGGAAAGTATCAAGTGTGATTTGGAGAAAAGCATGGAAGCTGGTTTGAAAATTCACTCTCATTTGAGTGGCATCCAGAAAGAGATTAAATATAGTGACTCATTGCTTCAGATGAAAGCAAAAGAATATGAACTCCTGGCCAAGGAGTTCAATTCACTTCACATTAGCAACAAAGATGGGTGCCAGTTAAAAGAAAACAGAGCAAAGGAATCTGAGGTTCCCAGCAGCAATGGGGAGATTCCTCCCTTTACTCAAAGGGTATTTAGCAATTACACAAATGACACAGACTCGGACACTGGTATCAGTTCTAACCACAGTCAGGACTCTGAAACAACTGTAGGAGATGTGGTGTTGTTGTCAACGTAGTTCGAATGGGTTCTTTCTGACCTGATTTCATGTTTTAACGTTTGTTTAATTTAATAGGAAACCTTATTTTAAACACAACTTTCTGAAAATAAAAGTAAATCATATTATAGTATTCAATAGTTAATAAAAAGTAGAGAAATGTGTTGTTTTTGATGTGAGATTTCCAAGGGGACTTTAATTATTACAAGTTTAAGCAATGAACTATTTATTATGACTGCATCACAAATAGCTTGTAAGTATAGAACACAGAAATAATTTGAGGGAATCACATGATAATCTTCCAGAGTGTCTATGGAAAATGATTTACATAAACTTAAAAAGCAATCTTCAATATTAGACAGTCCAAATATTCACACATAAAGAAATAGAATTAAAATGTGCTGTAATATATATTTTTCAACACCGTATCATAGGAATTTTTAAATCTGTAAAGTATGTAGGAGCTACTCTGTTGTAACTGTATTAATTCAAATTCTGGTTCTTTTAATTGATCCTTTGATAATACAACATATCATGTATATCACTTCCTGAGCCCTTCTACCTGTTGAGACCTATGAAACAGGCTGCTGTTGGGACATGTATAAATATTGGCAGGCAATCAGACATATATAGGGTACAGATGAGGCACAGCCAAGTGCGGTGTACAAACAGCAATTTTTATAAAGAACCCTAAAATTATTAAGAGCTATGCATGGGTTTTTGCTATCTGGCAATACAGATCTCCTGACCAAACCCATGTTCTGTGCAGGTTTATTCATTAAGTGAGCGTTACAGAGAAAATCAGAGTCATAGTATTGTTTTGTGTTCTGTCTACAAAAGTTGCAGTAATAGAATTTGGAATCCTCTGTGAATAAATAGAATTCTACCTACTATAATTATTAGCATTTTGTCTCTGAACCTACAGAGGGGAAATCACATAGACAAAAGACTTATTTTACTAAAAAAAAAAAAAAAAAAAACTTAGTTCTTACTAAGCAAAATCCCAAACACACTAGTAAGAATCCAAGAAATAAAAGTGATTATTTAGGTCTTATCTTGACTGACAGTCATTACTATGGTGGACTATGGTTTTGCTTGGTTTTTAATTGGCAATGTGCTTTCTTCTTTCTTCCTTCTTTTCCAACTTTCTTCTTATCTGCCTTCCCACCTGCCTTTCTTCCTGTCTTTTCCTACCTTCATTTCTCCTTCTCCTGTCTTCCCCTTATCCTTTTCTTTCTTCCTGCCAAAACACATGATGCAATTATAATAAAATAATTAATTTTTATTGTACTGTTAACTGAATACTGCTGCAGTTTATTTTTTATTTAGCTTACACCTTTCCTGTATGTCAGTGCATATGTAAGTAGAAATATTATTTTACTTAATTTTAATATATGGACATTAGTTGAGAGTCCCAATCTTTCTCATTTCTTCTCTTTTATTCTTATGCATACTTTAGTGCAGGTTTTAACTCAGCTTCCTTATTGTATTACTTTCAGAATTTGAAAAGTACTTTTTTTAAAGCAACGTTATTGTTAACTCTTTTTTTTTTTTTTTTTTTTTTTTGAGACAGAGTTTCGCTCTTGTTACCCAGGCTGGAGTGCAGTGGCGCTATCTCGGCTCACCGCAACCTCCGCCTCCTGCGTTCAGGCAATTCTCCTGCCTCAGCCTCCTGAGTAGCTGGGATTACAGGCACACGCCACCATGCGCAGCTAATTTTTTGTATTTTTAGTAGGGACTGGGTTTCACCATTGTTGACCAGGATGGTCTCGATCTCTTGACCTTGTGATCCACCCGCCTCGGCCTACCAAAGAGCTGGGATTACAGGCTTGAGCCACCGCGCCCGGCCTTGTTAACTCATTTTTAAAAATCTATTGTTCCTTAAATATTCTTAATGTATGTGTTCGTTCCTGTCCTTTAACACATCTTTGGGAAGATATTTAGAATGTTCTTACTGTTTCAGTTTCGTGAGCATTTATACTATGATTTCTTGCACCAAAAAATATATTTTTAGGTCATATTTCAAGTTAGCTGGTAAGAAAAATAAAAGTTTCCATTCCATAGAAAAATCCAGTGTTAAGAAGCGGTGATTCTGACTTTTTTTGTTTTTGAAGAAAAGATGGAATTGAATAGCCATCAGTGGAAAGGAAAGTTCACCTGCTTAAGAATCTATAAAATTATTCCACAGTATAAGCTACTGACATATATTTATTTTTCACTAATGGGGATCAAATTCAGAAGATCATCATAAATGGTAAACCAATTGTAACATTTTCCTACAGTGGAAGTAATCTCTTTGAATTACTCTTATCCTTAGTGAGAAAATAATGAAATAATATGCTCATCTATTGGACTAATTATCTAAATTCTAAGGGAGTTTTGATAAGGAGTAGGCCTGGAGAGATAATTTCATTTTAGAAACTTTGAATTAACTTCTGCTTTTATACATTTAAGCACAGTAAGGCATTTAAGGGTTAATTCGTCTACATTTTATAGTAAATAACATTTGCAAGTCTTAGCACTATCATTGCTTTGTAAACTCATTTTAGAATATCCATTTGCTCATTAGTCATAAAAATGTATTTGTGTTTTGATCATTACAATAATTAAATTTTAATCATTTATCAGCTACTATAGTGAATCTCTTAATTTACAGTTGTATGTTAATATATTAACAGAAATAGAAGTACTGAAATACAATGCCCTCCTGTCTGGATGCTAAACTATTTGTTATTAAATTAAGTGAGAATTAGAATTATAAATATAGAACTTAATAGAAAGCTTAATGTTACCATTATCTATAGAAACTTTAAAGTATAAATTCTTGAGTAACCTTACAGGTTAACTAAGAAATTGTTATATGCAGCTAGAAGAAACAAACCAAAGCTGACTATTCTTAATTTCTATAAGAAGACCTAGATTCATCTTTCCACTTGGAAGTCTCCTTTTTTTCTTTCTGCTATACTTTGAAATCTTATCATTTCCACAGTCTTCTTAATTTACTAGCTCTTCTATGAATATATTTGTTCCATTTAATCGGTTTGAATAACATCTCTGAACCTAGAAATATTTTAGAGGTACTTCTCATAACAAGCATTTTTATTCTGGCTTAGGCTATATAAATTTATGCACTTAAATAATTCCCCTCCTTAAATGGATTCTTACTATATTACTTTATCATCGGTCTTGTTAACTTTACTCTTTCCTATTAACTTCTTTACCCCCTACTCACTTTTTGAATTGAATGGCTAAATTTTAGAATTTTGTAGCTTTTGTGTGTGTGTGTTTGTATACATGGTAAATGATGCTTGTGCATTTTGCACGTGAATGAATATGTATTTTAGCAGACTTAAAACATTAACAGTAATTGACCTTATAAATTTGGGGACAGAAAGCTAAATCTTCATTCTACTATGATTTTTTAAATGTAGCATGAATTTAAATTTTAATTTTTAATTCACAGAATTATTGACTTAATAATACCCAAATGCTGTCTCTTTTAGCTGATTTAATGGTTAAATTATAGAATTTTTATTGTGTTGTGTGCTTATAAGAAAAAAACATGTTTTAGAGTTGGGTTTTAAAAAAGAGACACACAAATTAACTTTAAAATCTTCTAAACAAGATACCTATTTCATTTTCCTTCATAAGTAAAATAACAACTTATTAGTGTGTAGAAGGTATTCTAATTCATTAAAATTTTATTTTTATATTTATTTAAATATCTACTGTACATGACAAAATATATTTCTGTGGCTGCATTTTATAATTATTTTCCAAGTATGCACATTGTTCTATTTAAAACATATTTTTTTAGTGACAAAGAAATTCATTTTATCCTGATATGTAGTTTTTAAATATTGGGCTATTTCTTTTAATGCTGCCTAACTGGTTTAATAAAAATAATATGACAAATATTAAGTATATATAATTTCTTCATGTTGTAACTCATCCAAAATAATAAAAGAAATAATTATGCCTTTCATGCGATATTATTCTGGGGAGTCTTTTATTTGGCTATATTAAAAATAAATCTTTCAGTTTGAATTACATAATTATTGCTATTTTTTTCTTTATCTTTTTTTTTTTGAGACAGTCTTTGTCTCCCAGACTGGATTGCAGTGGCGGGATCTTGGTTCATTGCAACCTCCACCTCCCCAGTTGGGTTCAAGCAATTGTGGCATCTCAGCCTTCCGAGTAGCTGAGACTACAGGCGCCCACCACCACACCTGGCTAATTTTTTTTTGTATTTTAGTCAAGACGAGGTTTCACCATGTTGCCCAAGGAAGTCTCAAACTCCTGAGCTCAGGCAATTTGCCCCCTCCACCTTCCAAAGTGCTAGGATTACAGGCATGAGGCACCACGCCCGGCCATGAATTATATAATTGGTAATCTAATGCACAATTTATTTTAAGATTAGTTATTTCATGAAAATATAAGTATGTAGCAAATATAAATATATAGCAAATAAGATTTTTCCAATTTATTGTGGAAGAATATGCACACTCTTACTGATAGTTTTCTTACATAACTTTACTCATTCTGAGATGTGGTTATTCTGGAGATGGCCCTATATTGTTCATATAGAGATTCCTTACTTTGTTTGATGGCAGTATGGAAATTCATTGTATCAATTGAAATAATTTATTTAACTAATCCCCTCCTTATGGGCTTTTAGATGTTTTCCATTGTTTACTATTATAAACAATGCTATTCCATCAATGCATTTCTGTAAGACTAGATTGCCAGATGAAGAAATATTGACCAAGGCATTTTTAATTTTAGTAAACATTGATAATTGATCTTCATAAAAATTAATCTTTATGCACTGAGTCGTTAATGTACTCTTCCCACCCACAGAGTGTGCTATTTGTCTTTTAACTTGTTTATCTTAATGCAAAAAATTGTTATATAGTTGAATATATGGATAAGTAACTTGGGAAGTGTTTTATGATCATTTTTAAAAAGGCCTTCACTCTTAAAATAATTTCTCCAATACTTCTTTAGAGTGCATTTGTGCTTTAGTTTTAAACTTTCAACCATCTGAAATTAAGTTTGTTACAACACTTAAAAGTGAGGAGATAATTGAGTCTTGTTTAGGTGATTACAAGGTATTCACATTATTTGCCAAATAATGTTGTGCCACTGTTTTTAAACAGCTCCTTTATTGTGAACCAAATTCTGGTACATATTTTGAATCTATTTTTGGACTTTTTCTACCATTCCATTGATTTGGCTGTGTATTCACATTCAAAATCTACATGATTTGAATTATGGTGAATTTATAATCCTCTTAAGATTTGGTATACTTTATTTATATATTCCTATTACTCATGTTTATTTTTAAAATTTTCCTGTTCTTGCTTTTTAAATTTTGCAATATTTATAATCATCTTGCACAGCTACAAACATAGTCTGCTGGTATTTTAAATTGAGACCACACTAAATATATATAAACAATTAGGGAAAACTGACTATTTTAATACTGAGACTTATTGTCTGAGAGCCTCATGTGTTTCCTTTTGTTCAAGTCTTCAATTATGCCCCTCAGCAGTATTTAAAACTTTATTTTATTCGTGCACAAATAGTGTAAGATTTATTTCTGAATTTCATACCTTTTGTGTCACTGTGATAAATGAGGTTTTTCTCCCCACATTAGATTATTCAATTGATAATTATCTTCATCCAAGTTAAAATGTGGAAATTCCCTACTCACTGATAGTTTTAAGCCCACACTTCAGAACTATATTTTATTCATTGAATTCAATAACTTCACTGATTAATAGTACATTAATTCTTTATAGTACTATTATACTACACTACTAATAGTACATTAGTACTAACAGTACATTAATTCTTTATAGTGAATTCATGCTTTAGTTTTAAAATTTCAAACATATTTTCAAATTACTGTTACTCCCGTGAACGTAGACTTTCTTTATTACATTATTTTGCATACCATAAAAGTAAACTGAAAACATTAGAAAATTCTCTGAAATTTCAAACAAACCACTATCCTTACCCTAGGAAAATGAATTAACTGACCAACAAAATTAAGATTAAAACATATTTGAATGCAAAGAAGTCTAAGATTTGTACTAATTTGCACAGTATAGAATACCTACAATTTAACAAGTAATATTTGTAATGGCCATGATATAAATAAAAATAGGATGTATATTTTATCACTGGTCCAGTTAGGAACTTTATGAGGCTACAAAATGAATGTTTGCGTAAGAAAAATGGTTAGCCTGCAGTTTCTCAGCTGCAGCATTTTTGGCATTTTGGCAGAAGAATTTTTGGTTTGCTAGACTCTCCCATTAATTGAAAAACATTTAACACACCAGGATGCCTCCTATAAAATGGCAATGTTACCACTATATATTGGGAATGACAAAAATGTCTTCCTCTAATACTTCCTCTCACCCCTAAGGTTTCCAAGCATTCCCTAGAGGCTAGTATTGTCCCTGGGGGCAAATAATGAAGCCATTTGGGAGTTCAATGATTGTTAGAATAAAATGCCACTTATCTTTTACAAATATAATTAGAAGAAGAAGAAATGACATGAGCTTGTTATATTAAGTAAAAATGCACAAAACAATCTGCTTAAAATGGAGGAGGGCCTTAGTAGATCAAGTCCGATAATAATTTATGAGACTGAGACAACAACATAAAGATGGAGGGCAATTTAGATTTTTTTCTTGAATGATGATTGCTATTAGACCTATTTGCCAAGAATTCAGAAGTCCGAATTGACTTCAAAGTCTACAGAATATTGTTAATATGCTTCTATAAGTATGGTGTTTCAGAGAGTGCTAATCAAATTACCAGATATTGAAACAAGTTGTCTCAGCACAAGTATTACGTACTGCTAGGATGAAATAAAAGTTCAAATAGACTCAATGTGGGGAGAATATTTTTCTTCAGTTTTGTTTAATTAATATCTATGGGGTAGTCAGTGATAAATTAGCACAGTAATTATTATTCTGAGATGAGAAAATGACACAAGTTACTACTTAAAAATTCAAACAATGAGCAAACAGAAAAGAAATTAGAGATTAGAGAATATCTAGTTTTTGTATTAACTTGATGATTTCAGGCATGACATATTTCTTTTCCACTACAAATATATTTCAAAATATAGGATCTTTATAATTAAAAATTTTTTAAAGTGTTTCTTGTATATGATATCCTTCTGACTTTCTTATTTCTTTGCTGAGGCTCTTTAAAGACTTTTATGAACATCAAACAGCTACAGAGTAACGAGCAATGTCAAAATCAACTTACTGAGAACTGGAAACCTGAAGGCCATAAACAATTTGAATTCCAGAATGTTAGATTCCAACCTAGAATATAATTAAAAGTAAAAAATATTAAAAAGTTAGATTAGATAGCCCTTAAGGTTTTCAGCTTTGTCAAATTTTATTGAATAATGTATTAAATGGATTTGGTACATGCACAACAAATATTAGGTGTTTATTTATTGGACATGGCTCTATTCATTTTATCCTGCATGGAGCCACCTTAAGAAGAGGTTAAATTAAAGTACCCTAATAACTTAAAAAGGAGAGTGTTAAAACTCAAAACTCTGCATCTCCTGATACGTTCACTCTTATCTCTCATTTCTTTCC